CGGTGAGAACTTTTTTTTTATTTATCATTATCAAGTTATGAAAAGTAACAAAAAATTAGAATTATTTAAATTTTTAGAAATTAAAAAAAAAAAAAAAAAAACAATAACACAAGAAAGATATTTTATTTAACATTAATAAACTGCAAAACCTAATAACAGTCTATCTATCTCATAACGCAAAGGAATAAGAAAAAAAAAAAAAAAACAATTTACAAGAAAAAAAAGGGGAAATACTGTATATAATAATAAGGGAGACTATAATATGTCACTATACAATCTAACATAGATTAACATAGATGATTAAAAGTTGATAATGCAAAAATACAATACTTTTAAGATTGTATTGAACGGTTGGAGTGTAATTGAAGCATTAGTTCTCGTGACTGCACCGAGGATTTTCCGTTGCTTCCCGACTTTTTATAGTCAATATGTTTATCCGTTGCAAAAGACACAATATTTTCTTTTAATCGGACACAAAAAGACAACGGCGCGAATTTGTTTATGATAAGCAAAAAATTTAGTCTTGCTGTTGATTATTTGTTGTTGATTGCTCAGATTCTGCAGCTTTCATCATTTTATCCATCTCACGTCGTAGGTCACACCTTAATTGGAGAAGTTCAGAATATTCCTTAAAGCTGAGACGTGCAGGTTCTGTGGAGGTACGATCGTATTCATCGTTACACCAAGTTTCATGAACGACAAGAAATCTCGAAAATTGAACAGATTTTCTGCTCGGACTTTGGTCGTTATAATCTTGTTGACAGTCATCTTCACTATCACTAGAGAATGAATAACATTCTCTAGTATAAGAATGTGAAGGGGAGGATGGAATATAGGTAGCGGCCATTTTTTAATTAACAAATATATATTTACGTGTATTATTATTCACAATTGTATGTATGTACGTAAGGTAACGTATGTACGATATATATAATATGTATATGTTTTATAGTTATACACAAAGTAAATTGTACTTTAAACATCAAACCTAGATCAAAAATTATTATATTAGCATTTTTTTGAATTTATTTATATATATATATTTTTTATTATATATATATATATATATATATATTATTAATTTTTTTTTTTTTTTTGAATAACAGATGACAAATAATAACGTGATTATTAAGGACGAATGAAATACAAGCAAAAATAAATATTTTAATGTAAAACTTGATTAATGTAAGTGTAAATAATTGAAAAATTTTTTTAGG